AAAGTAATAGGTTAAAAAAAACCGTAATAAAAGATTAATATATCTATTCTTATTGACATATTATATAGTAGTATAATTATAACACGACTAGTATAATAGTATATCAACGTATAAGAGAATAACTGATCAAACATCAAACAGCAATATTGCAATTTAAATTAAATATTTATTAGTTTTTAACTACTAAAATTATTTACTTTGCGAATTACATCAAAAATGTAAACTTCAAACGCTAAATAATTAATATCAAGATAACACTGCTCACAGACTAGCTACTGTTGTATGTGAGTAGTTGGTAAGGTAGAATATACATGCTAATTTAGTTTTGAATATACTGAGTACAACGATAGATCATTGGAAATAAAAACGATCATTCTGGAAGAAGTAGTATTATTTACGTTTTTATAATCCCCTAGCCAAAGTAGCTCAGAAATAAACAAAAATAAAACTGATGTTTCGCTATTTGTTGTAAAATGTTTACATTTTATAGAAAAACAGTTGGGAATCTAGATATTTATTTCAAATAATCTATTATCGAGCACGAAATTCACATTTTTTAAAATCCTCGTATTTTTGAGGTATAAGTTATGAACAAATTGGAGCATTTTTACTAATCGAGCAACATTCATCGTTACATCATAAATTAAAACAAGTAACTTAATGTGCAGAACCTAAAAAATAATTTAAAAAGTATGATTTACATTTTTATGAACTTTAGAACTTGAAGAACTTTATTAAGGAATGTTGTATCCAATATCCAAAAAAACTCCAAAATTTGGAGTGTTCGTATTAAAAAATCACCCTAATCACGACACTAATATGAATAGGTACCTATGTATAATTAGGTATTAGGTATTAAATACTATAGTATTTATAATCAATGGTACTACATTTGTTCTTAATCAACAATTACTTTTTATAATATTGTAATATTTAGGTTATATAATATTATACGTACTTTGTACGTATATGCTATTTATAGTTAGTAAAAGAGTTATGTATATTTATTATAATGTTATTTCAGTTTTAATGCTGCAAGGTTAAATTGACAGTAACTGAACGGAACATAAAATGGAAAGAAGCCAAAATTCGGCAAAAATATTATGAAAACATATGGAATATAATAATTACTGGAATTAGTCAAAAGTAATACAATTTTTTTGTGCACGATATTATTGTTCGAAATGTTGGTTAGGTGATATCCATTGTAGAAAAAAAAAAAAAAGAATCTATGAAAAAAATAGTACAAACAAACAATAATTCAAAAATATTAAATACTAAATACCCATATAATTCAATCGTTTGTATTTACTACTACCTATAAATAGACTACTCGAGTATTTACTTTTATTGTATTGTCACCATTAAATTTGTTTATAGCACAACTGTAGGTAGGTTAATTACTTTAAATGTACTTAACTATATTGAATTACAGTAAAGATTACATTTATTGTTTTCGAAACTTAAGTAATAACTTACAGCAAGATCAAGTAACTCAGGTTAAAACGTTTATGGAAAAATGTATGACATTACTAAACAAAACAAAACTTTTTTTCTAGTAATAAGTAATAACAATAATAATAAATTAGGAATGATTATATGTATATATTTTATTATCTTATAACCCGATAATTTCTATTCGGTCGTGTCCATCACTACCAAGACCCACCAAGGAGAGGCCCGAATTCCCGGTAGGCCTATCCACACCCACGGTTTAAAGTCTTCAATATTCCAAATATTTCCAATGATGCATGCGTATTTTGACGGTAGGACAACGCGCGGTTTCTCGTGGAGACACCGAACCAAAAAAAAAAGATCGGAAACGCACCGGTCTAGAGAAAATATGTTGACATTGATTTGTGCGGACGTTACGGCTAAGCCTTGGGTTTAAAAACGTCTATTTTATATTATATAAATATTTCATCATGCACTTAAGCCCGTGTATTACTGGCTACAGTATAATGCACGCAGACTGCACTATAAATACGAGTATTATCGTCTCGCCATGATTTCTTACGTCACGTTAGTCGGTTGTTTATTATTATGTACGATATTAATGTGGGTATTGATTGTACGACCACTTTTGTTACAAGTCAATGGCGTCGTAATTGTTATTTCGTTAAAGTCGAATATAATTTCATAGGGGTGCCCGGACACATCACGTCTTCCTTTCATACGAAACCGCCACTGAATTACACGATTATATTATTATTACGATGATATATTATACAGAATAGGTATGTAATTGATTTTGATTTTTATAATATTGTTCAGCTCACAATTATTGAAATCCCCGGTAGTGTATTATCAAGTTTCAGTGATTTCAGAAAAACATCGTTTTTTTTTTATACTAATTCCGTCCCGGGTGAAAAAAAGTATACAGCTGCAATTCCATCCCGGGTACAAAAAATATATTGTAATTCCCTCCCCAATAAAAAGAAGGTCGACTAAAACATTACAATATTACTATATAAGTACAATAAAAATAATAAATCCAAAAACGGAGACGCACAAATAATGATTGGAAAATTTAAAAGTTAAAACAGTATTACTAAGTACGATTGTGTGATAACTGAAAGCAATATTATCTTTATTTCTAAATAATACAAATTATTGTAGTCGTAAATTGTATACTATAATAATATAGTGTAGAAAATGCAAAAAGGGACGGAACTCGTGTAACTAAATAAATGGGCGGTTTTCATTTGGGCGAATCAACCCAAAATCACATATCTAACGTTTTGGCGAGTTTATACGGCTTTTTAATATGTCTAATGCATCATTTGGGCGAGCTTATATTAGTTATATTATTATATAGTGTTTGAAATCTGAGATATTGGATTTTCAATAAATGTTTCAATATTTAGTCGCACTGTCTCACGAATGTAAGCTTTCTGCCAGTTTAGGTATTTAATTATAGGTACATGATGTTTTTTTGAAGTCAAAATTTGTATAATTCATACAATATTACAGCAATTATTAAAATTGTATAAGACACAAAAAATTCGTTATTAGATACAACAAAAAGTGCGGTACTACTTCGTATTTTCGTTCACTAGAAGACTACACGACTACTGGCCATAGTCACTAGTCTAGCTTAGTTATTATGAAAATTAAAATAAAATTCAGTTTCGTCCCACTGTTTAAATCTTAAATATAAAATGGGTAGGTACTTACAGCTGTGGACAAGATCGGGCAATTTAATTTAATTTATCCATAAGATTGTGGATTGTGGAAATGGACGCATTCTGGTGGTTCTATAAAATGTGTCTATAAGATTGCGGACGCGCTCGGGTTATGAAAAAGGTAAAACGGAACGCACTTGGGAAATCCCCTATACAAATAGAAAAAATGATCGGTGGGGTGGGTGGAGGTCGGACTGTCGGAGCGACATTCAGTTACAAATTTTGCTCTCTACAGGCAACATTCTGAAGTAGCGGCCCGAATTGAATACGTTTCTCAACATTTTATACAGCGTATGGAATACACGCGAGGAAAAACGGACATTTTCTTCAATTTGAAATTTGTAGAGTGGACGTTTCCCCCCCAAACAAGACAATTCACCCCCCTCCCACACGGAAAACTCAATGTGATAAAAATATTTCCATTGTACCTCGTACCACCCGCTTGCTAAAAAATATTTAGAAGCACTAAAAAGAAATAAAAAATTATAACTTTGAATTACTGTTAAATTATTTTAGTTACGATTTTCAAAAAAGCCTAAAATTGAATTTTTACGAAATCACATTATTTCATAGGTACTTAGGTATTTTACATTATGACTCTTTTGTATACGTTTTTCATGTTTTGTACGCGGGGTAAAAATGCCTTAATGTCGTCGGGCATCCGGACGAGATAATCCCGCGAACCATTTACACATTTTGAAATTTTTCACGTACCACTTAACACGGTCATTAAACTTTTTTTTTTTAATTATTAAAAAAATTAAATGTGTACGTTATTTCACACGTTTGGAGCTTTCCATTATTAAATTTACATAATTTTAAGCATTTAATATACACAAGTAAAATTAAATATGTACAGTTATTATGCATGGATTAATGAACTATACATAATACGTATTATAACTAGAGCCCGGTTTTATATGTTCTTAAAATGTACAAAAAAGCACTCGAAAACGTAAAAAAGCCTTGAAAAAAATCACGTAACAGATGTATAAAAATGCAAAAATAAAAGAGAGGTTAAATAGTCCCCCCTCTAAGGGATTTAATTTATAAATACAATTTTCTAACACCTCAAAAATGATTAATAAAAAGTAATTTTTTTTTCATAATACGTACAATTTTATTTAAAAGAAATCATTTTGTGTTAATAATCTTTGTGGTGTTAGGAAATTTAATTTAAAAACTTAGAGCCATTAGAGGGGGACTTTAAAACCCCTCTATGATTTTTACGTTTTTAAGTGGTTTTTTTTTTTTTTTTAGTGTTTTCGAGCTCCTTTTTGCGGATTATAAAAAAATATAAATCCGGTCTCTAATTATAACTAATACATTTTACGATCTGAGTGATAGAGCGAGGAATGTGTTGGTTTTTACAATGAACAATTTCTCTACTAGCAATTTTGTTCCGATTTACAACGTTAACACTTTTTCTGAAAGGAAATCTGACTGGGGATGAACTTTGGTGAGGTCATTCTTTGATTTTCCAAGGATTTTTCCCAATAAATTATTACATTATATCAATTAACCTATATAAACTATTATACATGTTGAGAACAGCTGGTTGAGAACAACAGTTGCTGGTCTAGTCGTATCGTCCCGCCGACAAAATCCCTTTCCGGGGTGGCGAGGATTAAAATAGGTAAAATCTGCAATCGGCCGAATACAACGCGGTCGGGGAGGGGACAGGGAGCTGCAGCTGCTTATTTATCATGATCCGAAAAAATGTGGTTTCAATTAAACACTGAATGTGTCGGTGGTGTTGTTGTCTGTTGACGTTATCACCGCGTCCTTGAACCGAGAACGTATTGATAGTGAAAAAGTCAACGGCGCAGTGGCTACTGTCACTACGTTTTTTTTTTTTCATTATTCGTTTCCCCTCCCTCCCGTCCCCCACCAGTACGATTACCTACCTTCATCGTTTTGCGACGAATGTCGAGTATAACGACCAGTCGACACTGATTCGACTGTCGAAACGACTAACAAGCACAACCGACAACAACTACGACGACGACGACAACAACAACAACAACAACTGTGTGTGTGTTTATTTATCAGCGTTCGTCGGCAATTCAAAACAAAGAACAAACAACAGAACACGGCCGCCGCACAGAACAAACGATTGTGCCCTCGTTTGCGTCGCCGTACGCAGTCCCAGTAATTGGATCAAATGATCGTCCCTCTAGTTTTCCGCCGTCATTGAATTCCCGAACGCCGAACACTGTACGTATGAATAATGAGTAGTGGGTCTGACAGTCCGAGTTACAGCCTGCTATTCTTCCGTCCGAAACGAAATTTCGCGTACATTTAATATTTATTTATAATGTTTTTTATGGCCTTACATGTCTAGTTGTTTAAAATTTAAAAAAAAAAAAAAATTATTACATTATACTATAATATTTTCTTCCCTCAGCGCTGTTACGCGGCAAAGGCTGCTGGAAATCAAGAAATTTTAACGTTTGCACCTACAATACGCCACAGCCATCATGTACTCTTCGTATCAAATAATATTGGCTATTGGAATGGTCATTACGGGATCTATAAATACACTCAGTGTCAAGTAAGTTAAACCGACATAATGTTATGTTATAATATATTCTAATAATTAGGTATCCGATACCAAGTAGTTACCTATAGTATTGTGCATAATCAATGTCTGTGTACACTCAATGTGTAGTGTACGCCTAATGTCATGCTATTCACTTAAAACACCAATGCTGAATGATAATTTGATTCGGAATGACCCATGACAATTGAAATTATCTGTATGCGGTATACCTCCTTTAAATTATTAACATTCTTAGGTACTCAAAACTATTAAATATATTATACTAATTATATTATAGATATGACTTAATAGTAAAGAAATAAATTCAAGTTCTTATTTTTACTACCTATTTATACTTGACTAATTTAATTATCTTAGCGTTATTAACGCCATATTATATTTAAATGTTTAACAATTTAACCTATTCTAATCTTTAACTCTAATTACTTACACTAGGTTATTTATAAAATGACAACAAGGTTAATTATATTTTCTAGGTTATTGTTGTAGTTACCTACATTTTTTTCTTTTTTCTTTTTGTAAACTCAATTTTTTTAAATAACAAATTGCCTAGTTTTCTAATTCAAAATTTGGTACTAGGTATGTTTAAAAATAAAAAAAATAAAGTGAACTTTGGTCTATAATATTTTATATAGACCTACCTATACTTTTAAAATTAATTTTATAAGTAGGCTTATGTGTGACTACCTATGTAGGTATACATATTTATGAATTGTGCACTTCTTAACTAGTCAACCTTGACTTGGTGATATATAAATTTTATATTCTCTACTGCATTCTGCTGAGATATGCGCCTATAGAAATGAATACCGTTCTGTTATATAACGTGTGCATTTCTTAGATTAATTTACACATTAAAACTAGATAGAATTTATAAACCATGGGTTTTTAATGACTGAACAGTATAGAATATTACAATACTGTATTTTGAGAATCAATTATTGACTGAAAACCAACTGTCTAATAATTGACAATCACAGTTCTATAAACGTCTATGTTTTCTTATCATTTAAATAAAACAGGTATTGATTAAATAAGTAGGCACACAAAAAATATTTTATTTAATCTAATTGAGTGGTGTTTAAATTACATAGGTACATAAACAATATGTTTGTTTTAGATGGGCTGATAAACTCCAATCTATTGGTTCGGATGGTAAACTACATCCTTTCAACCATCCTTTTGTTCAATCCCTGACAATGTTTCTCGGAGAATTTTTATGCTTGTTGTTTTTCAAATTAGCATATAGATATCATCTGAGAAGAGAAGTAAGTGTAATTATCTAATTTAATTTATACATTTCTAGTTTTTACATGATGACCTATAATTTGTATGTTAAATTATTATAGTTTCCCATTGAAGATAGCCCACTTGTTAAAGGTAACCAGCAATTCAGTCCATTTTTGTTCTTTATTCCGGCAATGTTGGATATGGTGGCTACTACACTCATGTATATTGGCCTGACTATGACTTATGCATCTAGTTTTCAAATGTTAAGAGGTGCAATAATTATTTACTTATTGATAAATTTACCATTGTTGATAGTAAATATTAAATACTTATAACTATGAATAATATTTGGTTTCTTTTTACTTCATTTTAGGTGCTGTAATAATCTTTACAGCAGTATTTTCAAAAATCTTTGTCCATCGACAAGTATCTGCACGTCATTGGTTAGGAATATTCACTATAATTGTTGGATTAGCTACAGTTGGTGTATCAGATTTGTTATCATCTGGAATTGGTACCAAATCTGCTGATATAATTATTCTTGGTAATAATAATTAACAAACATAGCATATTGATGTTGTTTAAAAAATTCAAATATACTCTATAATTTGCATAAATCATAATAAAATAATATTTTTCAGGAGATTCTTTGATTTTAATTGCTCAGATTATAACAGCTGCTCAAATGGTGTACGAAGAGAAATATGTTGTTACAAATGATATCCCACCATTACAAGCTGTCGGCTGGGAAGGTACTAGAACTTATTATTATTACAAGTATTTAAATATTCATTGTCTTACAGTCAATAATTTAAAATTTGTGATATTTTTTTAATCTTATGTGCTTACTCAAAATTAATTATGTAGATTGAATATGAAGTATCAAGATCTGATTTTGGAGTTAAAAACAAATACATAATATTTAGTACTTTTTGTTAAATTAATATTATAAACATCTATACTAATTATTTTAATAAATATATTTGTTTTTAGATTTAAGTTATTATAACTTTTTTTATCAGACTATTTTTAAAATGTTAAATTTATATAGGTGTATTTGGATTCTTAATGATGGGTTCACTTTTAGTACCATTTTATTATATTAAAGTTGGCTCTCCTCTCGGTGATGGTAACTCACGTGGTGTTATTGAAGATTTCCCTGAAGCTATTACTCAAATTATGAATAACAAATTGATTTTGATTGCATTGATTGGTAAACATTGATTATTATTTTTTGCTTAGTCTGGTTTATAAATTATTAAAATATGTTTTTAGGTAATATAATAAGTATTGCGTACTTTAATTTTTCTGGTATAAGTGTCGCAAAAGAAATATCTGCAACTACAAGGATGGTTTTAGATTCAGTTCGAACATTCTTCATTTGGACTTTCTCATTGGCAATTGGTTGGCAAGGATTCCATCCGCTTCAGGTAATAATTCATTTTTTTTTTTTTTTTCAAAACACAAAAATTTATATTTGACACATTTTATATTATATTTATACGGTATCATTTCAGCCTGTTGGATTCTTGTTACTGCTTATTGGCATGTGTATATATAATAATTTATTGAGAGCTGTACCCAGAAGATTGAGAACTGTTGTACACTATCCAACAGATGAACCTATTATTGGAGGTGAGCCTTAAAAACATGCGCTTACTCGTGAAGGTTGTTCACACTTGACTACTAATATCAAAATAAAGAGCTAATAGACAAACTAAATATAACTGCATTCAAAATAATTTGTTTTCTTTGCTATAATATTTAAAAATGTTAAAAATTGTTACACTTAATAATTATTTTAAAACCAAAAACCATGATTTGTCTATTCTATTGTGAAAATAAATACTCTTTATTAAGTATTATGTAGTTTAGAAAAAAATCTCATAGTTGAACCAGACGGTAGTTTATGTCATTGTAACTCATTATTAACTTAAAAATTATAATCTATTATTTGCTAGTGATTAAAACATATGTCAAATATTATGTTTAGATAGAATTGATATTATTCTTTAAACCAAGTAATTTTTTTTGTTTAGTACTTTTATTATTATTGTTCCTTATTTGTATTTAAATTATATGATAGATTAAAGATAATTGTTATATTTAGAACAATGAATGTTAAATTATTATGATTAATTATTGATATTATTAGGTGTTTTTAACAGCATTTTTTTTGGCACTAACAATACTTAGATACTTAATAATATTGTTGAGTTGTTTTGTTGTAGCCCTATTATTATGATGTAAGCATTAAAATATATATTTTTATGATAAATATAAATGGGCTTATATAATTACTTTAAATTTGTACGCTTTGGTATAAGGTATTTTTTAATACAAATGTAATAAAATTATGAATTTTGGTTAATACAACAATCCTTCATTTATTGTTTAATGTGCTACAATCAATTTTTTTTTTCTTAAACACATTAGAAACTGGCAAAAAATTGAATTTTAATTTAAATTCTAACCTATTATTCATTCATTTATTATTTCAGAATAAGAAAAAACGTTTAACATTGGACTAGAATATGTAATGTTTTGGTATTCAGTATACACTGTTTATCTATACTTTTTTATTATATATAAAACCATTTGATGTTTATGTTTGAGTAGTCATTGAGTTTACCATTTCATACCAAAACTTGAACTATAATTTTTTAATTGATATAATTATTGTGTACACATTTGTTAGAAAAAAATACCCAACAACAAAATATTGATTACGTAGAAATATTATTCACATTATTACTTTACATATTTTACATCAATGTAATCAATATTTAATTAACAGTATATCTTATTTGACATTGTATTTACACATGTTAAATATACAAAAAAAAAAAAAAAATGTGTCATCAGATATGTTTAGAAAACGATGGTAATATTATTGCTGTAGTATAATAATAATTATTATAATGTAATATATTTCATGGTATTTATGATTTTTAAAAACAATCAAAGTAAATAATTTGAGCACTATAAGATACTTTAACTTATTTGAGTATGTACAAATGATGTGTTAAAAATCAAAATTTTGGACTTTAAAATACGACTGATTTCTTTTTAAATCTATTATTTAATTTATTTTATTTTAAATGTGGATTTTTCACACCATTAGTACCTACTTCCCAAGGTGGAAATGTATTACTAAGTAAATTAAAATAACAAAAAATGAACTTACTTGTGTTTTTTTTTTTTTTTAAACAGAGTATTGTGACATTATGTAGATACATACACAATTTTTTGTTTTATTAACTGTAAATTTAATATTTTTAGAGAATGCATAAGTATTATATAGACTATAGATAAGTAAAATTTCTAAAATCGATGTTAACATTAAGTCTTCTTCATTCCAACTATTTAGGGTCGGCCACCCTCATCCTTAACTACCACTTGACCAGACTCCCTACATTGTTCTTGCATACACTCGCCGTCATTGTATCATTCTCAATCACATCCAACCACCTCGTTTTTGGACTTTCTCTTCTCTTTATCCCTAAATTTATTTTCATTACAATATTATATATCATACATACATTACATACATATTGATATAGCAACACGATCAATTGAGCTCCGCTCAGAATCGTTTTTTCGTTAGCGATAGTTGCGCGTTTGAACTGTTTACTCAACTAAATACAAACGATTGTATGAAGTAGGTATACAATAATCCATTTCTCACATAATCTGAAAAAAAAAAAAGTGGTTTTTTATAATAAATGTATTATATGTATTTTGTTTGAATTATTACCTATACAGATTTAATTTCATATTTTTCGCCTCCTGCCCTCCTCCCTATTGAAGAATCCTGGGTGTTCCCGCATTATAGAAAAAAAAAAAACTATAACGTTTCTCGTTTCGTCCAAAATCTAAAATCCAAAAAAACAAATAAGCTATTTTTATGTCCATCGAGGTTCACAACGTTTGTGTTACGCACAATACACACACAATGCCATTTTACTTTATTACGAAGCATTAAATTAAGTGACCATTTATCGTTCGTTTTGTGCGACGCGCCCGGTTATGCGAAACACAGTCCGGATACGCGACGTTTCCGAATATTGAGATGTTACGGTGGCAGGACGCGTAAAATATCGTTTCGTGTACGCGGGGACACCGAACATTTCGAACGATAAACCCGAGTCGTCCGAATATCGCGCGTAATAATATTACGTGGTGCGCGCGGATAGTGTTACGCATATTTGCGTGCAATTCAATCAAAACGTGGCGGCCGAAGCGGTTCAACGACAATAACAATAAATTACAATATCGCACGACGTTCGCTTTTAAACGCGAGTCTACGGGGTCTGTGAGTACAGTTTATTATTGTGGAATCGATATCACGAGGTGGCAATGTTTTACTGCTGTTATCGTGTGCGACACGTTTACACCGACCGGATTTCCGCGGGCAATCGTGGGGTCGTGAATAGAACATTTTCGAACAATGCGCCGTTTGGGAGTAAATAATTATCCGGTTTTGGTTCGGCTCCATCGGCTTCTCAAATGATCTCGTATTTTTATGTCACTTTATGTTTAATAATTGTCCTTATTAAGACACGTTATGCAATTAGTCAAAGGTGGCATTAACGAAAGTCGACGGAGAGTTATAATTTAAAATTATTAAATTTAACTCTAAATACTAAATTTTAGCAAAGGTGACATTAACAAAAGTCGACGGAGAGTTATAATTTAAAATTATTAAATTTAACTCTAAATACTAAATTTTTTTTACTTAAAAAAACGTTTTTTCCTATTATTTTTCCCTCTGATAAAAATAAGTAGTAATAATAGTAGTAGTAGTAGTAGTAGTAATAAAAGTATTAATAATAGTAATAAATACTCCGATAAAAAGTGTTGAATTTGATACCCGCATAATTCGTTTTAAGATCGATCATAAATATTTTTAACGCCACGGACATCTGGTAGTGGCCTATTCATCGTCTGTAGGTATCAGATATTTTTTTTTCTGATTGAGCCANCTCATTGATTAATCCTTACTTACGAAAAACGAGTTACACTTTTGAAAGGACGTAATAAAAGGTACTTATATTCAATATAAAAAACCAGCCTATAACATTGTACTGCAGCACATTAGGTTATGCATTTGGTGATCGAGTTTTTAGAATAGAAGGCAACTATTATCTCAATCAGCGACTGACAATAAATTAGGCAGTTTATAACTTACATATTATACAGGTACTTTTTCTGTTTGCGTTTTCATGTTTTATAATATGTACAATAAGCTATAGTTTTGTATAATATATTTATTTTATTTTTTCAATAATTAAATCACAGTTAACAATCTTCAATTTAAGTTTGGGATTGCCAAACCAATAATTACAATAGATATATCTTCGTAGAACACCTTGTATACATGGATAGGACATTAGGTGGTTTTGCGTGTGCCTGAAGTGAATATAAATTATCGCAATGATTATATTCGGTTATGACTTGTAGTAACATCAATAGTAATAAGTAATAAGTGATTACAGCACAATTTAAAAAGTAAAAATACATTTGTTTTTTATTAGTAAAATTCTATTAAATACAAATAAAATAAATAATAGTTATGAATTCTTTCATAAGTCATTTAGAAAAATGTTATTGCGAATTGATAACCACAGATAATCTTTATTTATTAACTTTTTTATTGCACGGGTAGCTTTTAATTTATAAAAAAAAAAAAAAAAAAACATCTCTTATTTGATTATTTCATATTTATAATTCATACATATTTGGATTTTTAAGTCCTATACTCTATATTAATGTCTAACTGTTAAATTTTTGTTATACAAAATGTCTTGTGATCAAAATTAATTTTTTTGATTCTAAATAATAAATCGTCTTTTTATATCTTCATACTGTTAACCGATTTGTAAAAGTTACAGGCACAAAAATATTGGACCGCAAAGTTACGGGTAAGCGATAAATCACAGAGCCGCTAATACTATTGAACGTTCTAATGTTATCTGTACATGTGCCAGTAAGTTTATAAGTCACTAAAGAACGTCTATGCAACCCGACCCACAAATATAAAAGTGAACATTAAACATGAAAATGATGGACCAATAACAGATAGTGATGTAGGTACGGGCCAACAGTATTAGAATAATATCACATTCCACGTAGTTAAGTCCGTCTATAGTTCTGTACATATCATTAGTGGTTATGTTTGTGTGAGCGGTATTTGTAGAAAAAGATAACTTACGCCTTGGTACTTTTGGCTATCTTTTTTTAGCCACGTAGACACTATAGGACGTGCCATGTTTTAATTCAAAATAGATAATATTGTTATTAAAATTAAACAACAATTAATCGAATCTTGCAGTTTGTGAGCATATTATATTATAAAGTGTCACACGAGAATTGACAGGGGTTATGTAATTTAACCTGATATCGCCTTAAATCTCTGTTTAAATTAGTGAAAGCTTCTTCATGGTCTTAGATAATAAAATGTCAATTATGTAAAATATTAGTTTTTAAGATCAGGTATCGGTTTTTTTTTTTTTTTTTTTTTTTTNAAAGTGTTGCACGAGAATTGACAGGGGTTATGCAATTTAACCTGATATCGCCTCAAATCTCTGTTTAAATTAGTGAAAGCTTCTTCATGGTCTTAGTTTGTAAAATGTCAATATTAATTTTTAAGTTCAGGTATCGGTTTTTTTTTTTTTTTGTTTATTTCTAGATATATCTAACGGATGTTCTTATACACCAAACATAAAATCATTATAGAAAGTAATGCGATTTTAAAATAATTTTTAAAACCCTTTCGGTCCCCTTGGCCTTGTATCTAAATGACTTGTTAACTCGTTATAAATCTCTTTAAAAAGTAAATTTTGTTTAGATTCTATTAAAAATGTAGCCAAATATGTGGTATATATACTAAACGATTTATTCAAGTTTAAATTAAAAAAAATTTAAACATTTTAAAAATCGTCATATCGGTTTCATTTTTATTAATAACTCGAATAATATTGTGATATTAAATATCCGATTTTATCATTTCTTCCGTGAAAAGATGGGTTTTTGTAAAAACTGTCGTTTTATCAGTATGACCCACTAGTTGGCCTAAAAACATGATTATATTATGGTGTCCAAGGAAACCACTGAATGTTATTGGTATCAACATGACACATGTTTCTAATTATAATAATATTTGTATTTTACTGTACGTATATATTAATTTATTCGTTGTTAAACTTATTTTTTCTATGGTCGTTAACAAGTATTTTAAAATCGTATCAATTTTTTGAGACATTTTATTTATTGTTATTAATATAATAAAATTGTGTATAATAACAACTATCAAAAACTGAACTATTTGACTCCTTACACATTAAATTGCCTATAACAGTGGCTGCATCCGTCCCCATTATCCTAGAACAGCTTTTTCTATGGATATTTATCATGTATAGAAATTTCTCATTATTGTTGTCACAGATTATTAAAAATGTGGCTCTAAATCCAGTCTAATTTTTTTAATAGTAAAAAAAAAAATTGACGAAGAGACAACATTATTTGGGCAGAAGTTAAAAACATGTACAGTTATAATGGACAACTTACCTTAAATTGATGACCGACAATGGAATTGTGGGTATGGCAAAAATCTTGGTAAAATATATCCAGATGACCTTAATTGTAAAATTTTTCTTGAAGAGATAATACATTTTTCCAAATTAGTTGATGCGCCAGTTGAAGAAGGAAAAATTGAAATGCCATCGGCACAAAAATGTCTTTAGATCATATACGATAATAAACTCAATTCAGTTTTTTCCTAATGTACAATTAGCATACATATTGTATTTATGTCTTTTGGTTCCCAACTACGGCACAGAAAGAGTATTTTAAAATTTAAAAAGAGTGAAGAACGAATTAAGGTAGACTGTTATGAACATATTGCTATAGTATATAGTATAGTAGTATAAGCCCTTCGTATTAGAGCATAAGAGCATATTATTGTAGTCTATCGATAACGCCTAGTGTGTAGGCGGCTCCTAGAATATTGTAACCATACGGCACCCGTGAGAGAGCCGCGCAGTCAGTCGAGCTACCACTTTTAAAACTGTACGTCATCACAACGACTATTATAATAAATTACTCTTTAATTATATAGTTCGACTCACATTAAATTATATTAGTAACTAAAAATCCTCAGAGCTGTTTCGTTGTACTTTCTCCTAAAATTGTATCCTCACACTACTGAACAAATAAAACAACCCGTACGAGCACAACAACTCGTATAGGCACAAAATTAATATCAATAAATGTCGTTGATATTTAATATATTTTCCTTATGTAAGTTTTTTAAAAATAATAAAATATTTATAAATTTGATAATGGATAAACGTTATATTAATACTATTTACCGTTTCTACGGACACCTCACTTGCACGTTTTTAGTGGCCAGCAAAAGTTTAAAATACGGCCTTTAGAATCGTTAATTTTTTTTTTAATCGGCGATAAATTTGAAAATTCGTTTCTTCAAATTCAAATCCGGTTTTATTCGAAATAAAAAGTCGTAAATATCACGGCTTTTCAAAACATGTATAACCGAACGTCACTCCGAATCGTTTTTGGTTATCAAAGGTTTATCGTTGTTTTTAACTTAAAAATTATATAGGTAAGAATTAAATAACTTTATGTATCTTACCTCTCCACCTACAACAGTGGCCGCACATTTCCACT